TGACTCAGCCTTTACACTCGTGACTCAGCCTTTACACTCGTGACTCATCCTTTACACTCGCGACTCAGCTTTAACACTCGCGACTCAGCTTTAACACTCGTGACTCAGCCTTTAAACTCGTGACTCAGCCTTTATACTTGTGACTCAGTCTTTTTACTTATGACTCATCCTTTACACTCGTGACTCGGCGTTTACAAATGTGTGAAACTGTAAAACTGAATAATTGTTTGTTTTTTTCCTTCCCAAACAAACCAAGTTTGAATGAAAAAAAAAAAACATTTAATTTCCTTCCAGACAGAATGAAGCAAAGACCCTCTTCAGTACCTGGTACAGGTGGTTCCTCACATTCAGCACCTCCCCTCCGGGCAGAGCCAACACCACCTGAGCCAGACTCTTAAGCGCATCCTGCTGGCTGTGCAGAACTGCAAGGTGAAGCCCGCTAAAAGGAGAGAGGAGTGTTAGACACAAAAGTCACGGCTTAAACACCTGTCTGAATACGAGTACTGACGTGTCTCCGTCCTCGTCCTGCGCTGTCATGAGGGGGCGCTGTGGAGCCAGCAGGTACGCCGAATCACCTGTGACCGAATACTGGAAGAGAGCGTCCAGCTGCCTGCGGGTCGCCTCCACAAACTGCTCCTCTACAACACACAAAAATACGAGTTAAACTAAAACTTTACAAACCTTTAGAAACTCAACAACAAAAAAATATCTCAAAAAGACAACAATAAATTGATCAACAACTGAATAATTATTCAGGTTCCCATCAACATTCATTGAGGCTCCTTTATTTATGTTCCCGATATTCTTTTGTTTCTGTCACAAAACTTGATTTAAATCTTTATCAATTCTGGAAAAACCCAAACCAATAATTCATGAAACCTGCATCCCCATCAGGAACACTGAGATCTGACTTTTGATAGTAGCGGAACATCGACCGATGGAGATTAAATTAACTACAAACTTTTTAAAAATCCAGAGGTCACACACCCGACCTCTCATCGACTTCCATTGTATCTGAGCTCAGAGGCTCTTTTTAACTTGTCATATCTCCTTTAGAAAAAGCACGTAGAACATCAAATGCAACCTGTGGTACCATCAGAACATTCTGCTGCTCACAGGTCAAGAAATATTTGTCTGAGGCTTATTTATTACTCTGTGTTTCTGCCTGAGGTGCTGCCTTTTGCTCCATTAAAAAGGCAGGAATCGCAACGACAATTAGTGAATCAGCAAGTTCTGGGTCTTCTATATTACCCAGCATGCTTTTCTTCCTTCTATTTCCATCATGGCCGCCAACACAGATCCAGTAGAATCTCAGACTTCATGCCGTCTCTAATCAGACCTTTGATATTTAGGAGGATTCGGTCGGAGGGTCCACAGGAAACGGGATGAGGTTTGAACCTTGAATTTCAAAATAAAAGTCTGGTCTGTCACAGATTAGATTAATGCTAAAATAAGTCCTAAAGTCCTATGAACTTTAGAGAAGACAGCTGGAGCCGCATTGGTACCTTTCATGTTTCTAGTGGGTCAGTTCTAGATCACGTCTGCAGTGCAGATGCATGACCAGTACAAACCTCCGTCTGTTTCTGGCTCCACATCGCCTCCTCCCTCATCAGCCCTCTCCCCCACCTCCCGGTCTCCTGGCTGAGCTGAAGCTCGTGGAACCTCCGACGTTGAGTCATCGCCTGTATCACTGTCGTCGTCATCTTTGGCATCGCTGTTCGAGGCTGTCACACAAACACGGATCGGAGTTTCTTTCAGACAAAATGTCTCAGTGTGAACGCTGAGTCAGCATATTGTTTTTGTGTTTACGTTCTTGTGTACGTATTTTACAATCAAACTACTTCTGCAGACTCTGCGCGACAGTTGTCGTTCATAACTCAAAATGTTCAACTCATGCAGGAGATGTGGACTATGACTGTTGATTTATGTAACTTTTATACTTTTTCAAATATTTAACTTAATGAATATTTTTTCTGTACATTGAGATCTCCTTCATTTCTTTGAAACAATGTTTTCTTTTAAATGTATTTCAGCTGCTGGCTCTATTTTTGTCTTCTTGTGCTAATTTTAGGTTTTTGCTAGCATTTTGCTAATCTTAGCCTTTAGCTGCAGTTTCACTAATGTTAACTTTTAGCTACGTTTTGGCGAGTTTTAGCTTTGTGCCACAGATTGTTGATTTTACATGTTAGTTACAGTATTAATGATTAAACTTTTTGCTACTGTTCTGCTAATTGTGACTTCTAGCTACTGTTTTCATGGTTTTACCTCTAAGCGACAGTTTTGCGTGTTTTAGCTTTTTGCTGCTGGTTTGCTCAAATTAGCTCATGTTCTGTCTCGCTTTTCATTCTGCTGGTTTTAACTTCTGTCCTGCTCAGTATCTACGTTGGAAGCATGTTTCATCTAAAATGTGTTGCTTTTATGAAGCTGCAGATCTAAACTCGAACCTGTTGTTCTTGTTCTGGCCTTGATTGTTTAGTTTGTGTTGTTTTTAACAAAGAGCTCAAGCAGATCCATAAGCAGGATGTTTCCAGGTCATACAGGAGACGTTGGTTTGATTCCTCACCCTGCTTGATGCCTCCTCCTCCCCCCAAACCAGTTGAGTATCCTGTGGAGAAACCACCTCCTCCTCCTCCTCCTCCACCTCCTCCTCCTCCATAGTTGTAGGAAGTAAAGCCCTGATAATAACCTGGAAAACAAAACAAACATTATCTTCTGACACAAACATTTTCACTCATGCAGACTCGAACAGCTGATGCCAGAACAGAGGGCTTTTCATGTTTCATCCTTCTGACTTCACCTCCTCCTGATCCAGGACCTCCTCCTGTAGCGGGACCTCCTCCTCGATACACTCCTCCTCCTCCTCCGTGACCACTGAAGTCGTGGAAGTTGGGTAACGTCTTCTGACGTTTCCTCTGCACCTCCTCCTTGTCTGAACACACAAGTATTCCCGTCAGCCTCCGAGCAAATCACCAACCCCCGTCTCACAGTTACATCGTCACTCTCTATAAGAGCTGATTATTGTTGATAAGGTAAATAAAGACGTACGGCGCTTCAGTTTCAATACTTTGTCATCATAAGGAAAATGCATTAAACATCAGAAATATGAAAAATAATCAAATTACAGCAGTAAAAAACACTAAAAAGCATGTCTCTGACATAAGGGCGGAGTCATCTGACCTAACTGTGATCTGAGGGCGGAGTCATCTGACCTAACTATGATCTGAGGGCGGAGTCACCTGACTTGATTGTGATCTGAAGGTGGAGGCAGCAGACTTACCTATGATCTGAGGATGGTAGGTGAAGGGTTTGGGTTCGCTGGTCTCGTTGTCAGATTTCCTTTTCAGCTGAACGAACACGGACGTCGGCTTCTGCAAGTTCTGGTCTCGATATTTCGGAGTCTTGAAGACGATGGCAAACTGTCGTCATGGCAACACGTCAAAAGGAGACGTCATGTTCAACCCAAACACGTCACCGTGATCCAGAATGATAATGACAAGACGGGAGTCATGGAGACCAAAAACAGAACAGTTTAACATTAGTTTTAAATATTAAAATGTATTAAAACTAAACGCAAAAACTGCTGAATATTTAGTGATGAATAGAAAATGGACAGAGGATCTGCATCTTCTCATGGGCAGATTTCTATATAATTTCTAGTTCCTTGATGAAGACGGCTAACGGGTGGAGCAATACTCAGGTCTGGTCTGGACTAAACATATTCTGCTCAATTAGACATTTCTATATTAATATTTATGATTGTTATTAACAATCTTTACTATTTATAGGCTCAAATGAAGCATGGGGCCAGCTAACAGCATATAAACACTTCGATATACGAAGGTTTGGGTTTGAAACAGAAGAAAGTTTTGCCACCCGTTCTGTTTAAATAAAATCCTTGGATGAAAGAAACAGAAACAATCCCATCACTGCACTCTGGTGTGGTCCAAGTGCTGCGTCTGGTTCTGTTGGGTTAAACAGCAGCCGACATCCTCAAGTTGCTCACCTGTCTGTGGACGTCTGTGGGGGAGAAATCTCCCATAGCTTCCCAGGTCAACCCCGTGTCATCCTCCTCGTAAAACCGCACCTGAATGTCATCTACACACAAACACACTTGTTTTATTTATGGATGTTCAAACATTTCTTTAAGGACTATAAAAATACCGAATCTGGAGAATTACAGATTCAAAACTAACAAAACAAAAAAAAAAAAAAACAGCAACAAAGCAGCCTGAATGTGTCACTTCTTCCTCGTGGAGTCACATACGAGAGGGGAAGTCCTTGAAGCTGGACTTCCTCCAACAAACAAAGCCCTGTAACTGCCTTCCAACCAGGAAAAAGTGTCTGCTCGTCACAGCGAAGAGCCGTGGAGCAACAATCCACAGCCACAGATTCAAGGCTTCATGTTCCTGCACGAGTCCCTTCCAGGTTCATAAATAATCCCGGCTGTAAGCCTGAGCTCCAGAACCAAACCTGCCCCACCTTTCTGGACTTTGTCACAAAGCAGGTAGACCTCTTCTCCTCCGGTCACGCAGCCGGCGGTCCGATCCATCCGCACAATTTTCAGGTTTGAAGCGTTTGGAGCCTCTGAGAAAAAACACGAGAAAAAAATAAATAAGTAAATCACAGCTGGAAGAATAACTCTCCATGTGGATCACGATTGACTGCTGCGAGTATATTTTTGTGAGTATAGAAAATTATTTATTTGACAAAACTCGTTGAACTTCTCGACACTCAGAACAACAAGAAAGTCCAAAAGAACTCAGTGAAGATCTAAGAAGGAGAACTGTAGGTTAACACAAGATGAGAAAGTCTTTTGGAGCAACAACAACTTCAGATTTCAAGATCATCCGTTCAAACTATGTAAACAAGTTCTTCAGGTGCGTCACCACTTTGCCAAGGACTGGAAGAAGACCCAAACTGTCCTCTGTCAATGGAAGGAAATTGGTCCAGATGTTTAGGAACAACCCCAGAACCACCAAGACTCAAACCTGCTATGAAATGGAAACTGAGACTCTGTCCACCACAGTCCCAGCAGATGTCCACGTGGACAAGACAAATGTCTTCTGGACAAAAGTTTGATGGCCAGATGAGACAAAGACTGAGCTGTTTGGACACAAAGATGAGACAGATGTTTGGAGGAGTCAAAGTGAGGCTTTCAGACCCAACAACACGATACCGACTGTCAGGCATGGTGGTGGGAGCATTATACTGTGGTACAAACTGAGGAGGACTACCACTAAATTCTTCAACTTCATCTCAAATCAACAGCTGGACAGTTGGAAATCGGAGACAATTTTGTCCAACAGAACCATGATCCCAAACACACATCTGGTACTGGTTCTGCTCGAATAAATCAGGTTGACATTAAGATTTTGAACCTTCCCGAAGCACCAAACTAAACCATATTGAAAATTTGTGTACTCCGATTTAAAAAAAAGGGTCTGAAACCAGGAAACAAACTAATTTAAATGAACTTCGATTGTTCTGCCAAGAAGAAGAGCGGTCCAGTATTAACCTGCCAGAACTTTGTTGATGGAGACAAACAGCCTGAGGTCCACGAGTCACTGATTGTGGGACATTTAACCAAATATATATCCGTCCCCAGTGCAACCCCCCACCCCAGAGAACTTCTGTGAAGGCTTATCAGAGCTGTACCGGCTGACACCAACATCTTATCAGGACTATGGTGCTATCTGGAAGTGCTTCATGGACAAATCTCACCGTCTTGACGTCAAATGCACATGTAATGCGTCTATAAATGTGCTGCTGGTAGAGTTTTTTTATGTCTTAAATCGTGTGAAGAGATCTTTTTTGTAACACCACTACCCTTTCCTCACGGTCCTTCCTGTTTTCTATCTATACAATAAGGGGGCACGCTTTTAGGAGCAACAGCCACGTGCACTCCGCCCATCTTTTGGAAACTTGTTTTCAAAAACGATGGAAGTTTTTTGTTGAATCGTTCCACTAAGAAAAAAAAGAACGATTATAATAAATGAGTAAAGGCCAGAATTAACTTGACCTTTATGTTGATGAGGCGTAGATGGAAACCGTTTGTATTTTCTAATAAAGTCTGTCAGTCGTGATAATTTTAAACATTACTTGACTTTTACTTCAGTCAAAATGAATAAAAATGAGATAAACGGAGTCTGCTTTAGGAAACTTATTTCTGAGTTTTAATTCAGGCTGAAAACAAAATAATTATTTGTTACAAAGCTGCAGGAGCGGAGTGACTAACAAGAAAGTAAACAAAAAACAAATCCAAAAAAAGTACCAGTGCACAACAATAACCAGTGGTTGAAAATAAAAAATATAAACTCTGAAAACCAAAAGTAAAAACCATAGAGCAGGGATATTCAACTAAATGGCTCAGGGGGGCACAGGGACTGACAGCCAAGAGCTCAGGGGCCAGAAATCCAGCAATTATTGTCAATAATTAAGTTTGTTTTACAGTTTAAAATCTATTTTTATTTAAAAATGAACCCATTGGTGGGCCGAACTGAGCTCACCAGTGGGCCTGATTTGGCCCCTGAGCCATCAGTTGAATAGCCCTGTCATAGAGAGAAGATTAAAAGAAACAAGAAGTTTGTGCTCGTCGTTCTGTGACTTGTTAGTGTTTGTAAAGTGAAACTCTGAAGTGACGACCTCAGAGCGAGAGCTTCAGTCTGAGAAAACTCTGCAGCGTTTAGAAACCAAAGCAGCGGCAGGAAAACGGAAACGAAACCAGACGACAGAAGAACCTCACACAGCAGAGGACGAGAAAAGAGCTGAAATGAGATTATAATCCACCGAACTCATTCACTCTTTTTGTTATCAGTCATCCTCAATCAATAGTAAATTTATTTATTATAAACAGGAAGTTATCATCATTAAGAAAAACTACAGAACCTCCAGCTTCAAGTAGATTGGACTTTTTCAGTCGCGGCCCCCAAACTTTAGAACAATCTGCCCCCCAACATTAGACAGGCCACTTCACTTCCTGTTTTTAAATCTTTTTTTAAAAACACATCCGTCATCAATGACCCCGTGTGACTTGTTTTAGTATTTTATTATTTTGTGTTTTATGTTTTTCTTTTGATACTTTTAAATAATTTTTGTTCTTCCTTTAAAATACTGCCATTGCTTTTTATTGTTAAGCATTTTGGCAACAACAGCTGTTTTTAAATGTGCTTTATAAATAAATTTGACTTGATTAAATGATTCAAACACCAAATAAATAGCAATTTTAAAAAACTACATCAGAAAACAGATAATAATAATAATTATTATTATTAGTTATTATTACAGGAACAACTCTAAAATTATTTAAATCATTTATCTGATAGAGTCCAATTTGTTCATGTAAATAACGATTCTTCTTCATTACACCAAAGTTAGTCATGGAGTTCCTCAGGGTTCAGTGCTTGGTCCAATACACTTTACATTATATATGTTTCCATTAGGTATAATTATTAAACAGCTGGGGATAAAATTTAATAGGTATGCTGACAATAGTTATGGTTTATCCATGAAACCTGATGATGAATCCAATCAGTTACTTACATTATAAGATTGTCAAAAAAAAAAAAAATGTATGACTTCATTTTCCTCTTTTAAACAGTCAGACAGAGGCCGTGGTTTTTGGACCTGAGCATCTTAGAAATAAACTTTGCAGCTTTTCACTTTCTCTGGATAGCAGTAATTTGGCCTCCAGTTCTAATGTAAAGAACCTTGGAGTATTTTTACATCAGCATGTCATTAAACCCACAATAAAAACTTTACCAGGTTCCCTTTCTTCCACCTGAACTAGTAAAACAAAAATTTAAAAATTCTGACTTCCAGACATAGCAATGAGACTTTCTGTAAACTCTCAGTAAAGGTCCGGTCTTTTTGAGTTTTGACTCACTGCTGTCGTAGATGGGCTCAGAAACCACGGGTTCGAGCCGTCTGGAGAAGCCTCCGTCGCTGTCGGGGAGGAACGCCGTGAACATGAGCCGGACCACACTCAGGTCCATGTCTTTCGACTGGTTGGCTGCTGCGATGCTGATGATGTTGCGCTGATGGTCTGAGAACAAAAAAATGATGATTAAAGACAAAAAACTCTTCAAAATGAGGAAAATCTCAGTCCACTAAAGTTATAGAATGAATCCTGTAACTGGATTCAGAAAAAAAAAAAAAAACACTCGGGTAAACTTATTGGACCTTAATTTTCAAAATATTACCACATAAAATAATTCCTAATCTTCATCATTATCATCTGAATGTCCATGGAAGGAGCCTCATCAGACCAGCTGGGTCCAGCTGAAACTCTCAGCACCACTAACCTGTGAGTTCTCGTGGGACTCGGACCTCCCCCTGCAGACTGTCGATCTCTGAGTGGATGGAGATGCCGCAGTTGTAGCCCATCCTGAGTGCCTCCGTCATCCTCTCCTCCAGAGTCTTCGCCACGTTCTTCTTCGTCACGTGGAGGATCCCCAGGTTCGGAAAACTAACGGAAACAGAAACTCTGTGAGTGTCACGTGTTCAGTGTGAGGAGAGGCAGAAACAGAACATGTTATATTCAGAGAAAGTTGGACTTGACATGACAGAACTGCTGTTTTCACCTCTCTGAGACTTCCTACAGTATCACAGGTCAAGATGAAGATTTTACCACAGAATGTTCAACTTAGAGTCTGATGATTTCCTCTTACAAACAGGAAGTGAAGGCTCCTTTTGACTTGTCATATTTCCACTATAAAACCCTGTAAAACCATGAAACTGTCGTTCTGCAGGGCCATCAAAACCTTCTGCTGCTCACTCAGTAAGTGTCACTAAATTAATTGATATGACTTGTAACTTTCATACAAAGTCTGAGGCTTACTTTTTACTCCGTTTCTGCCTACAGCTCTGCTGTGTGCTGCCCCTCCCCTCACTGCTCTCCATAAGAAGCAGGAATCACCATGGCAACCAGTGTCTCAGAAGAGTGCAGTTCTTCTATATTACCCAGCATGCTTTTCTTCCTTCTCTATTTCCATCATGGCCACCCCCATAGATACTGTGGAACCTCAGACTTCATGTCGTTTAATCGGACCTTTGATGATCAGGAGGATTCAGTCACAGGGTCGGCAGGAAACAGGAAGAGGTTTGAACTTGGGGTTTCATAATAAAGCTCATAGATAACTCTTCAGAATAAGAGTCTGGCTCTCACATGTAGATTTTACAGAAGTTCTGAATTTCTGTTGGACTTTAGAAAAAAAAAAAGTTGGAACCTCCAGCATTTCTACAGAACGTTTCTAGTTTTAAAAACACAAAGTTTGTTTTCTCAGTCATCCAGGTATATAACAACAAAAAAGGTTGAATCATGTCATCTGGACTTCGTTTTTTTGTTAAAAAGAAACGTTTCGCCCCTCATCCAAGAGGCTTCGTCAGTCTGAGGCCTAGCCATCTGGTATTACCCAGAAGCCACCCTGACTCTTGTGTTTCAAGCCTGCCTCAGATACCCCTGAAGTCTGGCCTTTTCACTAATGGTTTCAAAAACACAAAGTTTGTTTTCTCAGTCATCCAGGTATATAACAACAAAAAGGTTGAATCATGTCATCTGGACTT